CGTTGAGTTGAAAATTATGCCCCTAGGGGGAAAGGGGTACACCCTTATTCTATGTCGGGCTTTAAAGAGTATGTCATTGGGTGTGTAAGTCCATAAGTAAGTTAGAAATTATTGACTCACTTATAGACTTCACAAACCGCCCTGCCACCTGGCTTAATTTTGATGCTCGAAAAGCAACTCCACATACTCTCTTTAGCGACCGGTCATTATTTATCGCCGGGGGGGATTTGGGGCTAAACAAGGTGAAATTTAGCCGATTCCCCCTTTTGAATTTTTGAATGTTACTTCATTGAAGTGATCCCCCCTAATAACCTTTGATGACTTTGGCGATCCCCCCCACCCATATCTTCATTTTCCAAGCAAATTTGACTGGTCCCCCCTCTGAATCCTTCCAAAGTTTTCAGTGATCTCGCCTTTTGGGTTCTGTTGCGACTGATCCCCCATTTCGTTCTCCTAAAAATCAAGTGATCCCCCCTAAAATCCTCCCCCGCCCCCGCTCCCAAGGCGATAAATAATGACCGGTCCCTTATCAATTTCTTTGACAATATTACAAACAACATATCAACATCAGCGCATGTCCTCATAGGGGACTATTTTGGAAGGCGCCCCTTTCTGGCGTTTTTTATTAATTAGGAATTGGGAAGTGTGCTTTAAATAGAATAAAGACCTTCTATTGACTTAAATTGGGAATGCGGAGCTGCAACGGTTTCGTCTGAAATAAGCCACAGAAGAAGTTTGTATCAGATCTAAAATAGGGCAAAGGTATGAAAGCCAGAAACTTTTATAATAATGACGGTATCCAAATCTTGCTGTTTTAACAAAAACCAATAAGCTGTAATAATATGCCGTACTATATATAACTGTAACTGTAATATGCTGTCTTTCTGTGTGAAAGACAGCATATTTTGCTGGCTGAGAATTTGAAGCCGGTATCACAGTATACTGCGTATCATGCTATGCCCCATGTTTGCATTGGATGGTGTTGGCCACTTGTTGGTTGAGTCTACTAGAAACAGGAAGAGCTACTGAAGTTGACTTAATTGGAAAACAAAACATTTGGACGGATTATTTTCTAATCAGTTGACCCCATGCAGGGTACCGGTAATCTGGTTTTCGGAATCCGGGAAATTTTTGCACGTTGCATCCGGAAACCTAGGAATCAAGCTAACTATTGGAATCTGGGATCCACAAACCACATCGTAGAATCCAGTATCCAAGACTACATGGATTTCCTTACTCGAAGCGAAATCGTTTGACCTTTGATCAGTGAGATCTGAACAGCAACGACATGCTTGGAAAAAAAAAAAAAAAAAAAAAAAAGAGGTCAGTTTAAGACCTTAACGCCTTATCTTAGAATCTCCAAATAAGAAACTACGTAGCTAATTTTTGCTTATCAGTGATTTTACCATCTGGAATCTCGAAAAGGCGACCAATTTAAAGGACCAACCAAAACCAAGGAGCCCAAAGTTTGTTTTTACTTTAACCTACCTGACCAGGAGTCCACATATGGGCTCCTGACCTGACTGTGAACGCGCGGTAATTGTTGACAAGATGATGGTATCGCTTGCCGACTGGGTTACCTGTGTCACGTTCCTGAAAGAGATCAGTCAATGAAAATTGAGGTGTATGAAGGAACAAGCTAAGCAATATTTTCACTTTTCTCTGGCATCTCTTAATGCTTATCACAATGAAGCGATGGCCGTTTAGTTTAATAGGAATGATATGTCAAACAACAACGTGGTTTTAACGGGAGTTTTTGAATGAGTTTCTTTTGCCTAACTTTTTTTTGCTGTTATACGAAAGAAAGGAATTCATTGAAGCAAAACGAAGAAAATAAAAACCACTCAACAAAATTTGTTAAGGCCTCCATTGTTCAAAAAACAAAAGAAAATAAACATCAGTTTTCTTGGTTTTTTCCTTTACTCCCTAAAATAAATTAAAGGCTTTTAATATATGTACGTAAGTTAATATTTTGACTTATTATGTGAAGCTGTTTATGCTCTTTTATGGCGGAAGGTGGTTCCCAACTTTTTGGCTACAGCTGAAAAATAAAATTACAAAATATTTGCCCTTGAAAGCAAATTACTGCGGTGTGAATGCAGAATTTACTAGCTGACCTTGCTTTAGAATTAAGCCTCCGAGTCGTTTTAACAGTTTCGTAATTTAATAAAAACACTCATCATATTTGTCTCGTGCGGGCAAATTTTTTTTGTGCTTAGGAGATGCTCGCGCGGTTATGAAGTCCGCACTGTTTGATACAAAGAGGTACTGGCGATCATTCAAATAAAAGCGGTAAATTATAGAAGACGTGCTGCCCCTTAAAAAATGCCTAACATTTTTGCTAGTTTTCTTTCGTCCGTACGAGCATATGGCTGAAATTTCCATCAAAGAAGACACAAATTAACTATTCAGTTGAAGGTTTTATAGTAATCGTTCTTCATGCGGGCCTCTGAATCGAAAAGTGGGATTAATTTCACTTTTGAACTAAAGCGCTTGGAAGCCATTTTCTTCTAGTCATATAAAACTTGATACGCTTTGGGAGACAGCTGAAGGACTGTCCAAAAGTGGCAAAAAAACTCCCCGGACTTGTTGTCGGTTCCCTTTTAATAAAGGGAACAAAACAAATCCGCTTGAAAGCATAATAATAGTCAGTTTTTAGCCACGAAATTGCTTTTCTAAAAGTTGTCACTCTATGAGGAAATTCGGCGGTTTTATTTCCTTTTTGGCGAAAGTGCAAAAAAATTACAATAAACTGTGCTTTTGTAGGAATACTTTGTTTGTTTTTTTGAATGGTGGACAGGCCTAAAAGTGCCTCTGATAATTGCTGTATGGGCAGATGTTCCCGTCCGCGTCTGGAGCGGATTTTATTTCTAAACTTTCAGACACAGAAAAGATAAGTAATCATTTTCATTGTTGGTTCCATCTGATGTCCTCGCCTTTGAAAGCTGTCTGAAAATGATATTAACATAACAACGAGTTCGAACTTTAATCGTCACAAAACATTAAGGAAATCAGGTGTTCTCGTCCGGTTGGAGAATTTTGTTCTATAATGCAATGATTAAAAACGTTTTTACATGCATGCATAATGTATGTTTACATTAAGTAGTGTTTTAAGGTGAACAAGAGTTGAAGATCTGAGTTATAACCTTTGTACACAAGACCAAAGAAACAATTTCGCGTCACGCTTGAATCGTTACGTCACGCAATTGCTGTTTCAACGCTCCATTTTCAAAAATGCAAAATAAATGGCTTAATTTCAGACCATGGAATACGAAAGTCTCCAAAAATAGTCAAGACAGTTGAACACCATAATAGACTGATCAAAAGTGAAACACTGACAAAAAGATATAAGGCGTGATGGACAACCTTTCTCGACGTCGATGAAACTAACATCTGCCTACTAATGGCCCAAATTGGTATAAAGCTTTCCTAAATGTTACAAGGCCTGAGCAGTAAATTATTATTTTTTTGAAAATGAAATGCTGATAAAAGCAGGCCGATCGCTTTCAAGGCAGTCAAAAGATCCGACAGGCAATTATTTTATCTGAAATATGAGTTGAAAGGCCGGTATAGTTTGAGGAAATTTGAAACAATCTTTGCGAATATTCGTGAATGGTTATTCGATGTTATTTATTTATCTATTATTTATTGATGAAATGCAACAACAATAAAATCAATTTTGAAAGAAAACGGTTAGTTGTGTTCCTGAAAGGAAAAAAGTTCAAAATTTCAACGCCGGACATGACTATTGAATAAAACGTATTTATATCAGCACTAGTTAAGATCAATACCACACGATAAGGGCTCGCATGAAATCCATCACGTTATTAAGGAACAATCGCGCGACATGTAATTTGGGCTAAAAACTAAACACGCTCTCTCCTATTTTAAGTTGCTTTATATAGTCCAAAAAATTCAGCAGAAACTCAGCAGAAACTAAAGTGAAATAAAATAAAGGTTATGTTTTGCATCACCATCGCTCCTTATTCAAAAATCTCAAGTTGAGATTTGCTTATTTATAAGTCCGTTTCTAAATTAGTCCGTTCCCGCTTTCGCACTCTTAAAATTGTATGCCCTTATAAGTTAAACCAATACAATGTTATACATTTTCCTGCAAAAACGTGAATGTAATGTTCGAACTTATTTCCGGCGTAAAAGTTACACTTCCGGTCAAAAGTGTATGTTTAACATCACGCAAAACCGAACCCTTCTTCGATAAATAGTTTTAATTCCCTCGATTTTTTTGAGGAATAAGACTTGGGAGGTACACTCTTGACCGCTATTTCAGATAAGAAAACTTAGCTCGCTTCCGGATCGAATCTCGAATCACAAGAATTAGTGTTCTCTTTTGCGCTACGCAAATACAGTGCGAGAGCGTCTTTGTGGTGAAATTTGACTTGCACTTTCCCAGCAAAACCACATGTGCGTGATCGCGTGTTTTCAACCAAACGATGATGTAAACATGCCAAAATTAGTCAAAGAGATCACATCAAAAGTGAATAAAAGTGGGCATATATCGTCAAAGGTGTCAAATTCAAGAGTCAACAAGTGTCTGGCGTACCTCGACCAATCAAAAAGCAGGTTTGGGCCGTTGTTGACCAATCACAAAGCGCCTGTTCAGCAGCACGTGACGACTTTGCGGGTTTTCCCAGCATGCTCTTGATCGAGGCCGGAATTTCGAGTATTTGGCGCCGTGAGGTTTTCAGTTTTGAGAGAGTGGTTCATGGCATGGCCGTCGAATTAGCGCTTCTTCCCTTCAGCGAGCAATGGTTGTAAGTTAAAAATTAGCCTTGTAACTCTTCAGGAACACTGCTTTGATGGCGGCGAATAAAATGGTGAACGGTATTGCCAGTCAAGCTGCGGAAGCGAAAAAAAGAATGACTAAAGAAGACGATGAAGGGTACGGTGACTTTCTAAGTTTGTCAATATTACGTGCCAAATTCGCGAAATTTATACGCGAAAATAATTTTAAATTTATTTGCGGCGCCGCGCGAAGGAGTATGAAATTTCCAGGTTGTAAAACCCGAGTTTTCCCGCTGTGTTTTAGCGTGTGTTTAATTTTTTGTGAATGTGTACTGTGGTTATACGGTTCATACACTTTTATATATGTATTCGAAAGTTGTTTGAGATGCATGTCGCGTCCGTGTGTCTCGCTGGTTGCTAAACTTCCCTTCTTATTGTTTTTATTTCACAGCAAGCTCTTTGTGGGCGGACTTAGCTATGAAACTACGAAAGGTAACTTGATGTTTCTTCTTTAATTTTTCCCTATTTTTGATCAAATGCACAAAGTTTTAAATTTATGTAGAATGTCCCTGGGAAGCCAGCTGTGTTAAAATCCGACGTTTTATTCCTTTCAATTTCAGAAACGTTGACGGACTATTTTAACAATTTTGGTGAAGTTATTGGCGTGGAAATTAAAATGGATGCGTTAACTGGTCGTTCAAGGTTTGTTCGCCGTTTGTACCTCTGTTGTACTGGGTCGCCAAGTCTTCAACTAAATTAACCACCGAAAATATACTCGTAATATTTGTTCTCGACAATATATTCTTTTGTACTCTTTTCCACGTGCGCGGCTGTCTCAAGGGTACATTTATAATGAATGGGAAAAATCAGCTCTGGTTTTCACACCATCGTGTGACAAAACACGCTGCTTTATTGAGTAACTACTAAACGTTCTTAACGCCTCCAGAGAATGAATGTTACGAGTTTTGTCGGCCGAGAAAAATTAAGAAGTTGATCCTATAAAGTCACGCGAAGGAAGTCCGTATTGAAAGATACACGCTGGTTTGTTGTCATCTCTCAAACAATTCAAGTAAAAAGAACATTCTCATAACAGACCACCAGTGTCTCTTTCTCAGTTTAAATACCCCCCTGTAGCGAGCCATTTTCGCGGTCGGTTTTTGGTGTAAACACGTACATGCGTTTAAGCACGCCATTACTGGTCGACATATAACGAAAGACGATCAACGTGCAATTTGAGGCGCCGGATGAAGTTGTTTTGTCTCTTGAACTGTCCTACTTTTGTTTTCTATCCTCTCGATCTGATTAATATTTCTCGCAAATGGCCGATTTCCTTTCAACGCTCCCCGGTGAACGGCCGAAAACGATAAATTATCTCGAAGTTGGCTCGGTGAACGTGAAGTTCCAATGCAATTGCGTTCTCTGGCCGTATAATAGCATTAAATTAACCGACAAGCGTGTTCTTGAACTAATTTATTGTTTGTTTTCTTTCATTTTAGGGGTTTCGCATTTGTACAGTTTAAAGATCCGAAACAAGCTAACGCGGTAAAGTTCCCATTTTATAAATTGTTATTAACAAAGTCATGAATAATGCTGCTTATTTCCAAATCACTTCTCAGGCAGGCATGCGGTAATTTTTTCCAAACATTAAAGACAATGAGTGAGGCGTTGCGTTGAGGGCTCGAAAGTGGCTTAACATATTATTCAAACTTTTGAACAGAGGCTGCAGGTTTTCGCTGCGGATTGTTATTTTTCGAAAAGTGTAGCGGGTTGATATTCTCTGTTAGTCGGGTGGCTTATTTTTCCCATGACTGAAAGTCAGGATAGGGTAATATTTTTAAGTGGCAGTCGACCAGTCACTAAGCGACAACGTATCGTGATTTTGTATTGCTTCTTTGAGGCAGATATGAACCTTGTCAGCTATGGTCACAAAGCCGTGACAAGCCGACCAATCGGCTTATTCTAACCCCTCTGGTAATATTGAGTTATGAATATTAAGTTCTGATGATGCAGATTTTTTGGAGGGCTTTTGCTACCTTTCCTTGCTTGTTACCAAGAAATGGAAATTGATGTGGCCCGTGGAATGTGATAGCCTTGGAAATAGGACATTTAGAGGAATATCCGTAGTTTACATTGGGGAAAGTGTTATAATTGGTTGCATGACTGAAATGGAAAACAAGGATAACCTAACTTATTAATAAATATGAGCTGCCAGCAGTCACAATACTTATTTAGAGCTGATGACGTTTACAGCAAAAACTTATTTTACTTGCAAAACTTATGCTTTAGTGGAAAATTAATGGAACAGGTGAAATTTGTGTATCTCAAATTTCCATCAGGTCTCTTTAAAACAAGGATAAATGTATGTAGATAACATCCATTATTATAATAGCCATTAAAATAAAAAGGAGGAAAAAAATGTTTTACTTATAAAGGAAGCATTATGATATTAAGCTGTTTGTGACATTTGAGCAATAAATAAAATGCAAATGACAGTTTTAGCATATATTTTTTTTGGCTCTCGAGGTCTACTTTCCGAAGATGAAGCTAATTTGTGACAACTTAATTCTGCTGAGTTGAACCTTAAATAGTACTTCCATATGCATATTTACCCAGCTGATAAAAGCTTTTATTTTATTTTTTATACAAACAGTTGGATCAATATCAATTTCATTATCACATAGCTGCATGAAGAGGAAAATTATTCCAAAACTGCTGAACCTGCTTTCTGAACTCATAAGAATGAAAAAAATGGCATCAGCTAGTTTAAACTCAAAATAGCCTAGAACAAACTCGACTTAAACAGTAGAAATCCCACATCGGGAGTTATCTTGGCCTCGAAATTTACAAGAATTCTTGAAATTGTTTAATCTTTCCCATCTTGTCCCACCCACATTTTGTGTTAATTCTTGTCACGTAAAAGGTTTAATAGTTTATCTGCCTTCTGTCAGGTTCGCCAGAAGCAATATCTATGTGTTAATAATGGTAGGACTTTTTTGTCGCAATTTTCTTTAAGTAAATACGTGTCATTTTATTATTGTGGGTTGTTAAATATAATTGCTGCCAGTATTGCTGAACCAGGAAGTGTAGCAAATGCTCTCAGTATCTGAACAAAACTTGATTTAGGATATGTTGTTCTTGATAGTTTCAAGTTTAACATCACAAACGTATTTAGAGTTCTTATATTAATACTGGTAGTCGCAACAACTACTCATTGAAATTGTCTGTTAAATTATAATTATGCATCCAAGCAAGATTAGCTTTTAGTTATTTGCTAGGTGGCTTTTTAAGTACACATGGTCGTGAAATTTTTTTTCCTTCCTTTTTTTCTGTGCATTATAAATAAATATAATAACAATTGTTGCTGCTGTTGCTATTTGTTGATAGAGTTCTCGATAGAATTTTAATGATCCTTGTGTCTTTCTCACTTTTTAAAGGCAGTTTTCCCAGAAAATTTCTAGTTGAGTGTGATGTCAAAATCATTTTATAATAAAATATTATATATTTTTTAGTCTTGATAATATAATATCTATTTAAGATCCCACAGAAAGACCAGTCGAAGATAGTTTGCTGTAGAATTTAAAGGGGAATTTTTCAGAATGAGAAACAGTTTGGCTTTTACTTTAAGGAGAGTTGTTAATGAATTTTGGGAATTGTTACAGATTCAAAGTATAACATTAATTGCAGGAGTTCATGACTTTTGGCAGGATTTTTCAGTAAAATGCTAAAATTACAGCATATTTAAATATTGACTTTTAATGTGAAAGTGCATACAATGTAATTCAAAACTAGACCATTTGGAATATACTCAACTGATGCAAAAAAAGTGTAGCTTTTTAAAAAGATGCAAATACTTTAACAAAGCCTGGCCTTTAAATTCTCTTTAATCCTCTTCAATATGATAGTTAATTTCTTGTTGCAGGTCGTGGGAAAAAAGTCAAATTTTGCGGGTTTTTAGGGACAAATTGGTGGAAAAATAGGCCGATTTCGCGGGAATTTCATGGGAAATTTCGGAGCAAACTTTGCCAAAAAGCAATCAGTAAAAAAATGGCTGATTTTGTGGTTATTTTCAAGGTAAATTTGGCTAGAAATCGATCGGTTTTGCACTGATCAGACCAGCGTTTTTAACGTTTTTCTAACAGAGGTCATCATTTGCTCTTTCAGCAACAATACGCTCCAGAAATGAACCAATGGCCCAGTTTTTTGCAACATAAACTATGCCTGGTAGTTTCGGGACGTTGTTTCCACGTTTCATTGACGAAGTTTCAAGATAAATTTGCCAGTTTACAGCAAGTATAATATTTTATAGCCCCAACAGCTTAAACAAGTTTCAAATAATTATATTGTACAGACATGTATTTAATAAGATTTCTACCGAATTTTGCGGTATTTTGCGTGTTTTGTGAATTAAGCAGGATTTTGCGGACTTACCTGATTTTTTGGCTCCATGACCTCGCGAAAATTCAGAAGCTCTGTTCTTGTAACTCTTTATTAAGTCCCCAGAGCTACTGACATCAATCTTCTCCCAACATTGATATTATCCATACATCTTCAAGAGAAAAGTTTAATGAGAATTAACAAAATGATCACGAAAGGTAAAATGCTTTGATATCTTATCAAATTCTCTCAAAACTAATTTTTTAAGGAAGTGCACAGAGATCAGTATGGAAACTTTGTATGTGGATACTGAGGCTTGAAGGGTTATAATCCTGTTTTGGTCAGTACTGTAGTGAAGTGTTGGAATTGGTAGAGACTGTCAGGAACGCTTATTAAGAATACTTGGCACATCTCAATACTTTCTTATCCCTAACCTGCTGATATGTTGGACTCGGTAGAGACTGTCAGGAATTCTTATCGTACTTGGCACATTTCAATGTTTTCTTATCCCTAACCTGCAACATGTTGGACTTGGTAGAGATTGTCAAGAATGCTTCTATCAATAGTACTTGGCACATCTCAATACTTTCTTATAGTCAGAAGTGTAGAGGAGTCAAGGTTCCCCTTGATCATAAATTGCTCAGACATTTTGTACAACATTATGGTGGAAAAATAGAAGGGGAATTGTTTTTATTTCTCATTACTTCCATTGTTATCATGGTTGAATACACGCATGTACACTTGCTATATAATCGCAGGGTTTGACATTAGTGCTCGCGCTATGTAAATACATATGGCTTGTGTTCAAGTAAGCGGCAAAAATTATGTGAAGTTTGCTCCTACCAGTAGTCCCGATACTGACAAACAAAAACAACCCTTGCTGCTAATTAGACTTTTTCGTAGCATGATTTCCTTGGGTTGTTTCCTTTTGAAAATCTGTTGATTTATTTCCTGAAGTGATTTTTTTAACATCACAATAAAGAGGATGCGTTAACAACAATAAAGAGGATACGAATAAAAAACCCTCCTAGCAGATTTTACAGAAAATGAGAAGACAATTCTTTAAAATAGCAAGTTTAATGGCCTTGGTGAAAGAGAGTCAAAATGTGCTTGCTGCAAACAACTCGGAAATTTAACTACATCAATAGCACAGTTGTTTCATTTCCCTTTTTTCATTCTTTTTAACTAAAGGTGGGGTGGGGGTAACTGAAGCAGGGCTGCACTGGGAAGGAAATGTCGCCCCCCAGAAACCATCTTGGTTGGACAAAACAAAATTTTGGTCGGACATCACCAAGAAAAATAGGTTGAACTTCATATCCTTAAAACTACCGAGCTATTGCATCCTCGCGATCAGACCAATACAAGGCTGTGCTGTAAGGAAAATTGAAGGGTCTCAGTAAAATTTCGCAATGAATGTAGGACCACCTTCAAGTCCTCCATCTTGAAATGATGAGGCATCGAGCCGCTTTAAACTATAAGGTGACTCTTGAAAAATATGAACAAAAAGGAACATCTCTCTTTTAAAAATTAAAGCATTATGCTACCTTTGGTGTAAAGCGGAGGACATACTATGCTTATGTAAAAGAAAACTTCCTAGCCCAGGTCAATGTTGTTTTGTGACTTTGAGATCGTCCTAAAACACAAAGCAAGATTTACTTATGGTAGATTTTTATTCTTCCTTACCGTAAAATGATTTATATGTTCCAAAAAAATATATTTTCTGCGGGCATAATGTCCGAACACTGGTGGGATATCGTCGGTCACTAACAAATTTTGCGCGACTGTTACTTACAGCCCTGGGAACAGGGGGAGTATTTAGTGAGTAAAAATGTCGCTGGGTTAGTACAGCTGTACAATCTGAACGTGTGTTGCCCAGATGGCAAGTGTTCTAAAAATTAAGTTTCCAACTGTATTACTGTCGAAAAAATATTCAAAACCTTCCCATGTTTTTTTTCAGGTTTTGCAACATACAGGACCTCATTTATTAGATGGAAAAACAGTAAGTTTGTGATTTATTATTATTGTTGTTGTTGGTAAACATAAATGTTGTTATATTAATTGCCCAACTCGGTAAATCATATGCTTACTGAAGTGCCAATTCTTACCGAAATGAATCTCTAAAAGACAACTCCCAATTGCAAAATGCTGTATCTATGCTAGGCTCTGCAAAAACTGTTGTGTTTAACATGGCGACCCGCAATTATTCTTAGCAACCAGAATTGCCCTGCAAAATTTTCTGAGTTCTACACAAGACACCTATTGTTTAATGCTATTTCAGTAGGTGCTGTTGACAGTACAAAACCATGCACTTACACTCAAATGAGAACCTCCATCACCCTCCTCACCCGGCGTCAGTTTATTATTTCAACATGCTGGAGCATTCTGTCGGCGCTAGTTTATTTTGTCTGCCTCAGTGAATTTAAAATGCCAATATAAAAGAAACCTTGGCTGGCACACATGCAGTGGCACAATACATCACAGCATTATAGCATCAAACGACCACACTGTCAAGTTTAATTGGCTTTAATTGGCAATGGGTTTTTTCACCAGCCCCAGATTCTAATACCGCACTTTTGTAATTCATTGAATGTGCTTTTACATTTTTACTACAGTACAAACCTACATGAGATTTAAAATAAAATCCTCACAGTAAAACAGGCAAAGGTGAATCAAAGGAAACCAAACAAAAGATCGATCAAACTCAAACAAACCTAGTCGGTTCGATGGTTGTTCGATTGGTTTGGTAATCGAACATAATCAAGCAGGAACTTTTTGGCAAGTTTGATTAGGGTTCGATTAACAAACTTGTTTCAAACCAGACGAAACGGGATTTATGTGTGATTGTTGAAGCTTCGATTTTTGAACGTTCGAGTTTGTCAAGTGTTCGATTTCCAAAGGTTTGGTTGTGTTTCATTGGCAAAAATTTGGGGTGATTTTGATTATTTTTGATAACCGAACCAAGTTGAGGTCAATCAAATGATTGGAGTTCGATTGAGTACTGAATGTTTGATTGACTAGGCCGAAGTCAACAACGTGGACATACACTGTACCATTTCTGACTGGCAAGAGCCAACTCCAGCCATTTCTGGTTTGTTTAGGAGATGTGTTTCCATTATAAAAGTGTCTGAAGCAAGTTAGCTGCCTACATGTACAAAACTTAACACTGTATATTCTTATTGTTTTAGGTTGATCCTAAGCCAGCAGCACCTATAAACAAAGTAAGTTGTTTTGTTGTATTTACCTGTAAAGAATACATTGCTTCATTACCAGAGACATTTGTAGTTTTTTCGTTGGATAGATAAGAAAGTACTTGACTTTGTCTCAAATTCTCTGACTTTCTTGAAAGGAGAGATTGTGGTTTAGTACATGAAGTGTATTATTGTTTTAAAGTTGTACTACATGAAGGGCAGTGTACTGCTGACCATAAACCTGAGCCTGCAATAGAGCTTTGGTGTGAATAACATTGCAGTGGTAATTTCCATTAACTAATAATGGACAAGGTTAAAACAAACATCTCAGAGGAGAGATTAGTCTGAGAAAAAGCCAGCCTCCTTTTCAGTGATTTGTAGGTGAGACAAAGTGCTCCAGAAAAAAAAAAACGAAAGCTTAGATTATCTTTTAGCTAGTATGGAGTGCTTATTGTAATTTGGTTTTTCTCTCTGAAGCAGATTGTTGTAATAATTACAGTGTTCACTTATTTTATCTTTCTACATTTCAGCCACCTCATTTAAGAGTAAAGAAAATATTTGTGGGAGGTCTTAAACCAGAAACTACAGACCAGCAAATTAGAGAATACTTTGGCTCAAAATATGCACCGGTAGGTTTTGATGATAGTAAGCACTTTTTGTGGACATTATTTATCATTGGATAATAAGTTACTAGTGATCCAGGGGGTTCAGATTCACTTGGTGGTTCCAGGGTTCTCACAAAGTGCTGGCAGCTAGCAATATAATAGGCTATTTGAAGGTTTGAGTCATCTACTTTTTGGGGAAAAAGGGAGAAAGGAGAGAGTAAAAGACTGAAATTGCCCACAGCACCCAATTTCCAGGCCGTTTACTTTTACATCCTAGTTGTATACTTTAAAACTTAAAGACAATCCTGTGGTTCGTTATTTTTGTCTTCATATAATTTTCTAATCATTTTGGAATTTGATATTGTTGGGTTTACTTCGGAGGACAGCTGGGGAAAACTGGATTACTTGGAGAATGCATCTCAGAGCGTGGAGAAGAACCAGCCACAAACTTAATGCTCCATGGCTTATAAACATTTATTCAAACAAGTCTGCAACTAGGGCAAATATTATTGTGATTCTACACTCATGTGTATTCTTTCTAAAGCACAGCCTCAGAGTGGTGGGATTGGAGTAAATCAACATTGATCAGCAAAGGCTGTACAAAAATGATTACATGCAGGAACAACAGAATGTAAAACAATACATAATTATCCTGCATAATTGCACGCTACCTCCTAGTATAAATCATGTTATGGTTATTTACAGTTACATGAGCATGCTACATTGTACATGTACTTTATTATTACAGTTTGTATTGTTTGTTTGTGTGTGTTTTTTTTCTACAACCTAATTTTTATTCCTTTTGCACTTTATTGCAGGTGAAAGATATAGAATATGTCCAGGAGCACGCAACAAACAAAAGAAGAGGTTATAACCTACTGCCTTGACAATAATGACAATAATTGTTATAGTTTATCCTGAACAGTGTATTAATTTTATCAGATTATGTTTTTCTAGTCAAAAGAACTTTTGCAAAAAAAGGGGTAATTGTGGTCATCGGCATGCTGCATAGCATGAAGTTGAAGTGTGACCTTTTGCAGCAGAAAAATTAGCATGGCCCTTTCGTCAAAAAAAAAATATTATTTTTCTTGATTCAAGAACTGCAAAGTCGTACTTCATTTTGTCTTCTACTCTAGTCATCTTTATGCTATACAACCTAAAGGCAAAGTGTCGCTCAATGTGTCAATTGAATAAGTGTCACCTTGTGTGTTGAACATTTTTCTTCCATGCAAGAAATCACGCTTTAGTTTCTTTGACAAAACAGGTTTTGTTTCATGCTTGTATATGGCATACAGTGTAGCAAGCTCATAAAATCGCAAGTGGACAACAGATATGACAAAAAAATGTAAACGTGTGCTCTCTCTAGAAAGCTACATTGTATTAATTTTATGTTTTTATGTTTTATGTTTTTGTTTTTTTTTATGTTTTTGTGTTACTGAGCCTTGAGTGTGATCTGTATAGTTTCTTTTCACAGTTGTTTTCTGTAACATTAGTGTACAATGTAGAATGGCTGATAAAAAAGACTTCAATTTTCTTGCAGGGTTCTGTTTCGTTTCCTTTGACTCTGAAGACACTGTAGATAAGATTTGTGACTTACAATTCCATCATATTGATGGCAACAAGGTAAGGAATTCAACATCACCCAAGTTTGTTTGTTGTAATCTGTGGGGGAATGCAGCCTCCAGTAAGAGATGTAAAAATAGTGTCCTCAATTAGCAGTCCAGCCCATCTGATAGGGTGGGATAAGAAATCGGAAATAATTTATTGTGCCATATTTTCAGGGTAGATTGTGTGATAAGATACGACTATTATGCGATAAATTATGTGTTTTTTGTCAGGGCTAAGTAACATGGTTTTACCAGGATTGAAAAGAGAAAAATCACTTTAATGTTGTTGAACAGGCAATTTGAATGTAAAAGAATGATAAAACGTCTGTTTTAAAACAAAATAGTTAAATTTGTCTAATTATCTTGACCCGGAAAAGAAAACAAATAGAAAGAAATAAAAACGTCAATTGTTTAATATTACATGACACCGTTACACCGCTGACCACACTGCTTGTCTCTGACATAAAAATGGCTGCCCGGATACCGTGATTGAAGGTTTCAGATGTCTTGCAAGGCTTTCTTTAGTGGTAAATCATCTTAAATAACATTAAGACTTGGAAAATGTTTCATTAAAGTTAGAATTTATTGTTTACTTTTCCTGAATTTAGCATTTTTTTTATGAATTATGCAATTTTCCTCAAATTGTGTGATTGGATGCGATTTGAGGTCAATTGTGCGAAATCGCACCACTGCGTAATATCAGGTGGCTAGTTAGTACTGCTTTAGTGCTAAACACATTGACACAAATAAAGTGCATTTCTTGCAGGTTGAAGTTAAAAGAGCTCTTCCCAAAGAGGTACAGCAACAACAGGCAGCGCTGAGAGCTGCTGTAGCAGGAAGAGGCATGCTCCCAGCTGCTATCGGTGAGCTGACCATTATTCAACATGCATGCGCTGACAGAATTTTAAAAAAGCTGTTTATGCGATTCTTCAGTAGAAGTGCAAATACAATAATATTACCTTTTTTCTTTGAAATGATTGAGCAGCCGCTACAGCTTTTGGAGTGGTACCTGGAAGAGGAAGAGCAGCCACAACAAGTTTAACAAGAGGTAAATGCACTTGACTGTACTCCAGTACAGTAAAAACAGTCTTGAGACCCTATTACAGTGTATAATAATTTATTGCCATATTTCCCAGCTGCTCCCTTAGTGTTTTGTTGTACGAGTTTCTACTCGGGCCTTCATGGAGCGGCATGGCGTGGTGTTTAGCGTGTGAGACTGATAGTTCAAAGGAGTTCAAGTCCTGCCTTAATCACCAGCTGGATAAAAGTTCTTGCTAGTCCTGGGTTCAAATCCTTGTTCGCCTCCCACCAGTTGGGATTTTTAACCTAATGTTACGTTCCATTTAAATTACTTGTTTCATTATCCTTGAAAAGCCTGGTATACCTTATGATTGGTTCATTTTGACAGCTCTTGTTAACAGTTGGAGGTTCATTACCTTGCTACCTACTTTTTAAAATTAATGCAGTTCAGCAAACAGTACAGTCTGTCACCCATTACTTGATTGACAACTTTACCTACAGCTATAAGATGGGATTTAACTAGCCAACAAAGTGGGTGGAATGACCTTTTGAAAACTAATCCTAGACATTCCCTCCACGTTCCTTTTCCCTCTCATTCTCCACTATCTAAATGCCTGGCTTGGCTAGATCTTGATTGTAAAAGTCTTTCACACTGGTTCTCGACAGGAGCCGGAGCAGCCGGGCTGAGCCTCACCTACAACCCAACGTACGCTGCAGCCCTTTATGGCGCAGCATTTGGTGCCGCCTCAGGAGCTTATGACCCAGCTTTGTATCAAACCGCCTATGCTGGTCTGCCTGGTTACCCAGGCTACTCCCCAGGGACATTTGCTGCCGCAGCCTCTGAGTATCCCGGTGGAGGATATCCATATCCCTATGGTGCCGCTGGCAGAGATATTCGCTATCAAGGTATGCCAGGATTGCAGAGTAAGGAAGTTCTGAATGCATAGTGAGGGCAAAAGAATACCACAGACTTTCTGTTTCATGGTTATTGCCTTCATTATTGCTTTGGATAATTATTGATTGATTGGAAAGAAGAACTTAAGAATATTTTCTGAGAGTTTTTAACGAAGAAAGAACATACATTTTATTTGAATGAGTACATGTATTTTTTAATTCGTGCTGTGACGCTCTTGAAGGAGTCGATCAAGAAGAAGAATTGAAAATCTTTATACGAAAACAGCATACTTGGTCCATCATCATTTCTTTCAATTATTTCTGCATGTATTTATACAAGAAAAAAAGACAGAAGAAGATTATATTTTTTGAGGTTTAATTATTAAATATTATTCTCTCTGGGACATGCTTCTGGATAGTAACTTGATTGATTTACTGTTGGTCAAAATGAAAACATTCGAATCAGGAATTTTTTTGCAAAATCTTATTGTCATAAATGATTTATGTCTTTTTCTTGTTGTTGCTTGAAAAAGCACCAAAATCTCGTGAGAATCACAAGGGCTCTTTACTGATTACAATGGTTTATTCTTTCATGTCTCCATCCAAGAAATGTCCCAGCAAATTACAAATTGTACTTTTACATAAACAACACAGTCAAGCAAACAGCACAAAGCTGCTGTCACAATGGTTGAACCTCATAGAAAGTAGCACTTTCACAAAGACAAGTTATATTTTATAGAAAGTGGATTAGGATATGTTCACAGCAATATTTGATTTGTATCAAATGCAGCATGATTTCGTAGCTTGTTATTGTAGTTATAATAATGTCCACGTTAGAGATGTAGGTTCCGTATATTTGAAGATTATCATATTATCAGTCAGGTTTATTTGTGATTTTCATGAATCATTTTCTGCCTTTTATGCATTGGTTTTGGTTGATAATGCTCTGGTCATAACATTATTGTCTAGTAGCTGGGATGGTATGATAACCTCTTAAGCCCCAAATGGTCATCGTACATCATTCTCATCAGTCTTCTATCAATAACTGAAAGAAAGTGTTTGTGTTAAATGTCATTATATATGGGTTATTGTTGCCCGCACAATAATAATTTATTATAGTGCTCACTAAATCAGGACGATAAAATCCACACTCGGTAGATTGAGAGGCCAGGAAGTCAGTTTTGAAGCACGGTTTGGCCTGGAAACTCTTATCAGAGTAATGAGGACGCCATAAATTGAATCTGTTTGTTTCGGTATATGCAATCTAAAGCCTTCTTGGCCTTTTATAATGGGCCCTGGGAGTGGACTGCAAGTATTCTCTTATGTTTCTCATGTTATTAAACCTGTCCCTTGCGAGGAGTTGCAAAGTGCCTTCTTCACATTCATTCAGTGTCCTTGTGAGAATGTCTTTTAATTCCTCACTCGCATGAATTTGGTCGCTGTGCCTTCTCTGAAATTTATAAATAAAAGTCCTGAACACTACCTGTACTTTTAAACCAAAAGCGATAACTGTTATTGCAAGTATCATATTCAGTCAATTAGCCAGAACATATTGTTGTTTCTTTGGTGTTTTGACAAGGTCACCCAACAGCTTCTGCAAGATTCACATGCAGGTGACATGAAGAGAGAATTTGTATTTTGATTGTTGGGGCTTATTGGATATAAGCATTATGTAATCAAAATTAAGAGCAAGTTACCATGTTTTATAAAACTAACCTCAACCGTTACAGTTTTGTAGAGCATGATTCCTGCCTGTTGAACAAATCAAGTTTTAAGCATTATATAAAAAACTGCTCTCAAGGGTAACTCTTTTCGTCTCAGCATCAGTTATAAATTTTTACCAGGCCGGCAGTACAGTTCTGTACCAGCAATCATGCCCAGTGGCTCGTTCCTGCGGCTAACCCTTTTGCTACGGGCTGCAAGAACATCATAGCTCCCGCACAAAACGTATAATAACTTAATGCTGGTTGAATGTCGTAGGCATAGAGATTTTGGTGCCCTCGCCAGTTTTCCTGGGACCCCGGCCGATTTATAACTCGACATTTTGAACTTTTGATAATTCTAAAATCAACAAGTGTGTGTATTCAAACGACAATTAAACCCTGTCAAATGATAACATTATTGGATAATTTTGTATTATTATTATTGTTACCGAATGAAATTTAGGGTTTCTTAACCTCTGTGAGTTAAATAGTTCACTCTTGAGGGCAGGTTTTGGTAGAAATTAATGAGGTCAGCTGTGTTCTCAACACTGGATTGACATGCTACAAGATTTCACAACTTCTGGATTTGCTGTGGTCTTATTGAAGCACCTGTACCATCGATAAGCTGACCGTTATCTTAGCTGTTTAATAATACGCACAAGGGGCACAAGTTCTCACCCTGCGAGCACAGCTTCCTTTTTGTCTTCTTGGTCAAGGAGAAGAAAAGAAGGTCTGCCTGAATATCGCATAAAACCTTTCGAGGTCGCTGCAGCCCAAACTTTTTGACTATTCAATCTTGTTTTCTCTCGTCAAACTCTTTTTTTTTTTTTTTTTGAAGTGCGCGCATTTGTTTATTGATATACCAATGGTCATAACCGAGCCTGCTGTAGCGGAAGCCGCTCGTTTCGATACAAAATCGTTTCGATACAAACTCAAGCAGTGAAAATGCGCAAAAATTTTGGTCCTTTTAAGTATAGTTTGCGAGTGAACAAGAAAAACATTTTAGGTGAATATCTTCGTTCTTTAAGCCAAGTACGTGAAACTACATGTATTTACACCTCGAATGAATAAACTTGTATCGAAACAACTTTGTAACGAAACGACCGGTCACCGCTGTAGCAAGCGTACGGGTGCTAGGCTGGGTTCGAAACTATATCCTAGCAGCATGCCGCGCATGCGCAACAAAGATCTGCAGAGTTTGTTGAGTTCGCCAAAATCGAGCAAGGAAAAGAAAGACTCTGCTGTTAGGGTGACAAGCTTGTTAACTGAAGGTGAAATTTTTAGAAAGCAGCAGTAGCAGCAGCAGCTCTGAATGTTGTTGTAAATTAATTATACACAGCCAAACAAGACCCCAAGTTGCCGAGGGTTGAAAGGTAGCCTCTGGCGGGCCAGACTGGCCAGACTAACATCAGCTGGGCATTAACGCGGAAGACAATTGTGACCAAGATGCTGGTGTTATTCTTGCGTGCGTGACGAAATTGAACAGGAAGGATCAACACAGTGCTGCCTAAGACGTTTGAGTAGTTCCAAATTTAGTTAGAGCACATCAGGTCGTCTAAAGCCCAAAGCATTTCATTCGCCCCGTGTAAGGTAATCAAAGACAGTCTTGGATTCTCGATTCCATGAATTCCGGACTCCAGCGACTGGATTCCGGATTGCCTACCAGTGAATCTTGGATTTCGGATTCCAATCGTTAGTGGGATTCCGGATTCATTGAATTGGGTTTCGGATTCCAAAGCCCAGGATTCCGGATTCCACAAGTACAAATTTCCCAGATTCCAGATTCCGGATTACCGTACAGTGGGCGATTTTTATGCACTGAACTGAAACAAGAATGAAAGAGTTTGTGGCAACCTCTGTCAGCAGCCTTTCACTTTCTTCTGTGGGTACAGTACTTTTTTTTTCTCTCGACAAGCCATTGACACAGGTTATTCACGATTTACAACAATCACAAATTCCACCTTGTTTCGTGACTTGTGCTTCACTTAAAACTGCAAATCCAGAGGTTGTGAAACAAAATGCGATGCCGTCAACGTAAAAATAATGGTAAACTGCCGGCTGTTAATATAACTCAAGTTGTTTCACATCATGTGGTCCACCAAGAATTGAAAATGTCAGTTATCCATTCGTTGTGTACATAGACTGCACGTCAGCATTCGTTGATCAACTCAGGCTCTTAGAACTAGAATCCTTCTATTGCCAACACCGAGCAACATTGCAACTCTCATTCATGGTTCTGGTACATAATTATCATAATTATCAAAAAACCGGAGCACTCTGATAACCGCATAGGTCCCAGAATGCTTAATTATGTTAAGGAGCATTTTAAATCAACAAGTTGTCATGTTGAAAACTTAAGCTTAGGGACCCAACAATAGACAATGGTAGAATATAAAACAGAAAAGGAAACTTTCTGAGTTCTGAATAGAATTAGAACTTGTGTTTAATAGATGAAAACCCCGATCTTTGCGTTCAGAAGACGTGTCATAGGTTTTTGTAGAGTGACTTTCGGAGTGCCGTACTCAGTTGTACATCTCCGTGAGTTTTGCAAGTTACATGTCAGACATTGTAGTACTGGATTTCATGAGCAGAATTATTGACTGTTGTTGGAAATGGAAGGATTGCTAGAAAGAGGGCATTATCTATCGTATATAACAAATCTTGCAAAGCAAGAGAAAGTTCTGTGCTGAGTCGCGCACAGTTTTCTTATTTGTATTTTTGAAGATGTTCAAATTTATTAGACAGTGTACATTTTTTGTCTTTTGTGTTCATATAGATGTTTATGATACGTTTTTTTTCCTTTCCAATTATATCTTGTATATTGAGTTTTGCGAAAGATCGAAAGGTGTTAAGAGATTTTGAGAATTTGATACAGAAAACAAAAGCTATTGAAAATTCGGAAGATATTTTTGAACATACGTTAAGGAAAGCGTAGGCGCATGGCCTTCTTACGACTCGTGGTGCAACAGCTGTTTTTCATTGCGCCGAGTATTTTTCTGTGAAGTTTCTCGTGTTTAAGCTTATTTAGTTCTCTGGATATCTTTGTGGTTGTTTTTGTTCCAGCAATACTTTGCGAACCTTTTCTCTGCGTGCGACGAAATCACAAAGGCTGTTTGAGAAATTAAGAACAGGATGAGTAATTAGATACTGTATGTACTCCAATAAGCGCCGCGGCTTTTATTTGAGGGCGGCGTTTATCGAACTACAAAATTTTTTTATTTTGATTTTATCAGGACTGCGGCGCTTATTCAAGTAAATACGGTATACCAACTGGTTTACTCACTAAATTCTAGTAATTTCCCCTCTCTGCTCTGTAGTCACAACGTAGTTGCTCAACCTGTTTTCGTTAC